AAAATATTAAAAGCTTTGAAAGAATCCACAGTAACGTTCTTTGATATTTTCTGCTAGCGATATTTTTGCGCAATTCATAAAAATATGTATTTTAATGATTCAATAAATCTATTATCAATATTAAGGCCAATATAAATGAAGAAAAAATAAATAAATCTACATGTTTCTTCATTTAGTCAAAAACACACTGATATGTATTACACGATAGTTCTAACCAGGATAAACAACGAAAAATAAAATTGATTTTATGGAGTACTGTTGTGATTCAAGAAGAGATACCCACATTCACCATTATTCTCTTTAATTTTTCGATGCGAACATTTTCGAACCTAAGGAAACTTCCGAGAAAACTCTTCGAACACTGTCGTCATTGCATATCTTACTATAGATTTTCACCTCTCTCTGTTTATTTTGAAAAATTTTTAAATGTTCTTTCCAGATATTAAAAAAAAATGAAAGCCCGTAAGAACTGATTCTTGAAATATGGCAAGAAAATACTTCTGGAATTCGATGAACAATGTTGAATTGTTATTCATTTTAACTTGTCAATTCATTACAAAATAGAGAGATAGACAACAAGAAAAGGCTCTTCATGAAACGTAATTAAGCAGAAAGAAAGAAAAAAAATAATTTTGCTTGTTTTGTTTTTTTCTTCAGTATTCATTTGCTTACACATTTTATCTTAACATTGATGTCACTTACTGCATTTATATAAACGAAAATAAAGATGGTAACAACGATAAAACTGTATTAGTGAAATGTTATTTTCATAAATTTATATATTCTCTGAATATTTGCATTTTTGAGAAAAAGATTCACTATGGTCATGAATCAATGTCGATGTCAATCAGCGATTTTTTTTCTTGCAGGATAAATTTCTCAATTTACAAAAACACCAAGCGTATTATTAGAATGATGGTGTTAATTGTTTATTTTTACAATAGAAAGAAGAAAGATGAATGCTTCCGTCCGTATATTTCTCGAGATGAGTCGAACTACATGGTCCATCAATACAAGCAAACAAAACTGTAAGAAGTAGCTACTTTAAACTAGGATGGAAGTAATGATATACACGTACTATCTATTTTATCCGTCCTCTTATAAGATTAAAAACATTGATGTATATGTAAAACTGAAATTTAATAAACTAATTTTAGATGTCTACTCATCATTTCTAATTCTTACTCAATTCATCTACGAAATATAAATAAATAGAAAAATTAATACTTTTTCTATTGAATAAAACTGAATAATATTTCTTTAATTTATTGTTTATTCATTTTATAGGTTTTCCTTGATTATTCTCATATCTTTATTACTTTTGTTTCCACTTGTTCAATGAATTGTTAATGATAAATAATATCGTATTTTTGAACAATAACTCTTAAGAGATGAAAAAAAATATAGCGATATATTCATGATCCAGAAATTGATAAATCAAAAAAATTCAAGTAACTTTATTCAACTTAACGGAATCAAATTGCATGTGTACAGTAAAATATCTATTCTTCCATATTAGTACAAACTAATAGAATTCAACAAATTAGAAACATTTAGATGATATTTAGCCTTTCCAATTAATTGATGATAAGGGCAACACATGAATCGCTTTCAGTTAGATAGCATGATTTATTGTCAAAAACTGTCACTAAGAGATACGTGGTGTAATTTGATTAGAAGGCTGTCGGCTTTACATATGGACCTTGAGTATTGTTGCTCCATCGTGTCTATATCACTATGAATACAATCTTATTTAGTGCTCACGCCAGAGACGAGAAAGAGAAACACGCATGATCAAGGTCATCAATATCAGTGAGAAGTCATAGAGTAGAGAAAAGAAAGGAAGTGAAATGTAATGGACATTAATTGTTTCGCTGCGTAAATGAAAAAAACTCGAAGTAACGATATTTGTCATGTCAAGCTTGAATGCTTAGATAGCAAACTGATGCAAGGTAGAGAATGAAAAAATTTATGAAATGAATCCATAAAAAATAAAGTCGAAGAGATAGCAGTAGAAAGAACGGAAGAACAGTAGTACGAAAAATGATGATGTTGGTTTTTTCTGTTCGTTCGTTCGAATGCGCCTAAAAACGAATATATTTTTCTTTCTCTCTCTCTTTCTGTATCTCACTTGTCTTTTACCATAGTATTTTTAACAGCAACTAGGCAGGATTCGTCTCGATTGTCAACAAAAAACATTTTACGTAGTAGAAAAATAGAGAAAGTAGGTAGTGTCTGCTAAGCGACAAACCATTATTCAAAATTTTCGATTAATGATCAAATTATCATTCGGACCAGCATGGATGTAGAAAACCCAAACGAGCCCATATCTATATTATCAAAGTTCCCATTGACAAAAAGCATCAGCACGGTCGGCTAGCAGGGTGGGTGTGGGTGTGGATGTAGATATGAGTGTGAATCTTCATCTCTCTCATACCCACACCTACACCCACATCCGCCACCCACACTCATCCTGGCTACATTCAAGCAGCACAATCTGTTACAAGTTTTGAATAGTTTTGGTCATCTCATGAAAAGTCCTTACCATGCTTGGTTCGTCTTGTAAGACAAACAAATGTTTCACTTGCTAATTCTTTAGCTAATGAAGCGTTATTCAGTATAGCGAGTTTGTTTAATCGTAAAGAACGATCAGAACTTGCATCTCGTACTCTTCAATACTTAGCTGTATTAAAAAATCGTCATCTACTTGATAAAATTGAACAAAGCTATTAAAAGGTGTGGGTAGATGTATTGATCTTTTCTTTTCCCACACCCACACCCTCTTTTAAACAAAGCAAGAAAAACGAATGGACAAATATGAAGTGTTACAAAGAGGGAAAATAGAGTTCATTTGATTTTTATGTACATATTAGATCTGCTCAGTTACAGAATATGCACATTTGCTTGTTATTACTAAACATGAAATGATGAGGATGTAGGTATATTAATGTTTCACATCCACATTCGAAAAGAAAATCAGTGTAACGACTTCAGTACTATAAGTACAATACTTTGCTAATAAAGAAAATGTATCGCACATAATATGATCATTTTAAATGTCTCAAGATAGAAGCATTCTTATACACAAAAGCGTAAAGGGTGTAGGACGTGAGCCTCAATGCTTTTCTGATATTTACATCAACATCTTCACCATCTTCAGTTGTGTTTTACACGAGGATTGATTGTTGCAGAGATATTTTCGAAGCAGAAGCAGCTCGATGAGGTTTTATAAATACTGGAAGCTTGAACTCAAATTAAGAATACTTGATAACGATGTATCCATTGACTACATTTCTCTCGTAATTTTACTTTTTTCTTTTTACTATCCTTTAACTTTAATTTTGCTTTCTTCTTTTCTAAATTTATTATTAAGCTTCCACTTGATCAGTCGCTGAAAAACAAAATTTGAGAATAGCAGGTACAACTTGTTGTCTCACCTAAGAGACAAATCAAAATATCACGATTGTTTTTTATGATGATGAATTTAAATATTGTAAACTACATATATAAACATGAAAATCGATTGAGACATTGTTTCCAATGACGGAAAAAAAATATTCATTTATTTTAAAACATAAACCTCAATGTCGTTTACGGTAAATTTTGCAGCTCCAGTGAATGTCTTATTGCCATAGCCATGTGAGTCAATGAACGAACATGGAAATTTAGTACTGCTATAATTGTTTTTATTACAGTCACTAGCTATGAAAAGATCACCACGACGAACACTGAGCACACCATCGCAACTATTAAGAAAATTAGACCAATTAAGGCCATCACCACCGAACCCAAAAAGATAAAAGTCATGAAATTCACCAATATATCCAACTCCAGAATGGTACACAGCATGGTCGCTATGTGATTTATTTATATCAAATTTAGAGGGTAATAGACCATGAGGGTTGGTTAGTGTAAATAAAAATGAGTCTGTATCTTGTTTATAACCACGTTGGTTACTCCAGAGAAGTTTTGTGAATGCACCAAATAGATATTTACCTGTCTTAGACTCAATTATTATCATTGTCGGTCCTTGTCCATTGCAATGACGACGAAAATTTTCGGCTGAAAAACCATGTATCGCTGCTTTATAAACTAATTTCCATTTTTGATTATGTTTTCCATAAAATTCATTTAACTTAAACTGGTGTTCTCTGTTGGACAATAGTGTTCCGCCGACAAATAGCTGCTGTTCATCTTTTATATACTGATCAGAAGCTAAAAGTCAAAAAAAAAAGAAGCTGCATATTGTTATACACATGTTAGAAAATCGTGTTGATATTGTAATGTTGCTATTCATGGGTGATTTTGCTGACAAAAGGATATGGGTATGGGTTTAGGTGTAGAAGCAGAAGAATAGAGACATACTCGCAAACACTCGCACCCACATCCATAATAGAACTTCTTTTGAAGAACTTACTATTTTGGTTGTTACGTTCACTAGTATCCATAGTGTTTATCGACTTATTCGAACCCTCGAGTGCAAGTGATCTTTGGTGATATGCAACACTCTTGTCATAGTCACCGGTGAGCGACGCAATTCTGCCAAGATCTTGATATAAATCATAGAGTGAATGATGATTTGCTGGTAGTTCATCCAAGAAGCGAATAAAATATTGTTCAGCTAAATTGAGTCTACCCATTTCCCATAATAGTTTTCCTAATGTTCGAAGATTTGTTTCTCCTGTACCAAGTTGATCTTTCATATGTAGGAGAACATTTTTAAGATTACTTTCGTTTTCATTACATAATGTCATTTGAATAATCCAGATATTATCATCACTACTTTGATCAATGCTATTCAAACGAAAAATAGAACCTATCATAAATAGTACTTCTGATTCACCAGGATATGCACTAAAGCTACTAATATCAGCAAATGGTTTTGTTGTAGCCATTTTCGGATCAGCATTGATCTCAAATAAAACTCGTTCTAAATGATTTGCAGCATGAGGAGCATTGAGAAAGTCACGAGCTGCTTTCTCATCAGTACTTGTAGAAAAAAATGAATTCACTGAAATAAGTTGTCCACAATTTTGTTCTAATGTTTCTAATTCTTCTTTTGATAATCTTTGTCCTCGAAATAGTCTTAGAGTTGTATTAGTTGAATAAGATTTCAATTGATATTGAATATCAGCAATAAATTGACGAAATAAAAACATCATATGAATATTTTCATTGCGTAGAACAGCATTAAGAGTCTTATAAAAGAACGACTCTTGTGAGTACCACCATAAAACTTTGTCTGGCGAATACTTTTTTTTAAATTCATGAATATTTCTCAATTCAATATTATTACCACCGTATGCCTTTTTAAAATGTGTCATAAGTTCCTTTTTATCTTTTTCATTCGATTTCAACCGCAAAAGGCAATCGATTAAAACTTGTGAAAAAACAAATTTACCATTGACACCAGTGGTAGACTGACCATTAAAAATGTTAATAGATAATGGTTCTTCTACGACTTTTTGAATTCTATGATCATCTATTATTCGAGATGCAAGTTCATCAAGGTCAGTAATAACAGCTTGTACCTATTCAAGAAAAAGCATCATACAATCAGATTAATATTGCTTAAACTGACTTTACCTTTGAAAAATCCTGAGACCATTCTTCATTAGCTTTCTTATTCATGCAATATACATATATTGTTATGACTTGCCGAAGTTCATGAATAGTAGGAACGATTATTCGGCCTAATCGACCACTTACAATCATTACTAATCGATCTTTCGAAGATCTTTCCTTAATATATTTTTCACATTGTAGTACGTCTTGAAATTTCTTCACACGATTAATAATAGAACGTAATCTTTGTTCTGTATCTCTATTATCTTCGCTTTG